CTGCATGCACTCGCCCTCTAAACCACAGATAAGTCACGCCGTGCAGACATGACGATAAGGGGAGAGGAGAAAGGAACTTTGCTGTTGGCTCACAGAAAAGGGGTGTTATTGCAGATGCATCATTGCGAATGCATCATTGCGAACGCATCAGAAATAATCATGAAGGCATGTGGATAGGATACGCCAACAATTGGAAGAAAGTGGCCTTTGTGAAGAGTGTGCTATCACTGTGCTTCCTGAGGCGCCTCAAAACCGCGTGAACTGGGACGATTTTTTAGGCGCCTCAAAAAAGGAAGGAAGTGGCCTTTGTGAAGAGTGTGCTACCACCGTGCTTCCAATCCATGACGAAACAACTATTTCCTACCATCGCTCCCATCCCTCCCATCTCTCCCATCCGTCCCTCTTATCTCTCCCATCCCTCCTTCCCAACCCTCTCATCCGCCCCTGCAACATCACAACCACTCGCATACCCTTCCACATGCGAGCAGTCCCTCCTGTCCCTCCCGCCCCTCCCCGCACCATCCGTCCCCTCCCGTCCCTCCCAACCCTCCCACCCACCCCTCCCTGCAACATCACAACCACTCGCATACCCTTCCACACGCGGGCAGTGGCGTTCTCACTGGCGGACGCAATGAGCTCGCCCCGTGCTGTGGCTGCCATTGAGTACACCAGCGCTGTGTGCCCCATCATCTTATCCCTCCCATCCCTCCCAACAGGAACACAACCCTCCCACACACGTGCAGTCCCTCCTGTCCCTCCTGTCCCTCCCGTCCCTCCCGGCACCCTCCCTTCCCTCCCGTCCCTCCCAACCCTCCCACCCCTCCCTGCAACATCACAACCACTTGCATACCCTTCCACACGCGGGCAGTGGCGTCCTCACTGGCCGACGCAATGAGCTCGCCCCCTGCTGTGGATGCCACTGAGTACACCAGCGCTGTGTGCCCCACCATCTCCAGCAGCGGCTGCAGCGACAGGTCCCATAGCTTCACAGAGCTGGCAAGGGGTGGGCGAGAGGGTGAAGAAGAAAGGTTACTACTTTACTTGAAATACAAATCGCCCCCTGCTGTGGCTGCCACTGAGTACACCAGCGCTGTGTGTCCCACCATCTCCAGCAGCGGCTGGAGGGATAGATCCCATAGCTTCACAGACCTGCGGGGGATCGGGGGTGCAGAGAAGGGAGAAGGTAGAGAGAGCGAGCGAAAGGGAGATAACAGAGAGACACGAGACTTGGGCGGGAAAATGAGGAGAAAAACAAAGTAACAGAAGAGGGAAACAGCCAGAAGTCATGTTTTGAAAGATACGTGGGACTGAGATCGGGACCAAGAGTATGGGAGAGAGGGAGGTGGGTGGATGAATGACACAGGAAACTTGCTACATGGCGACACATTGAGTGGTTGAGGAGGGGCGGGGGGAAGGGCAAGATGCTGCACAACTGTTGGCACGACAGCGAACGCAGGAAATAACGTGCATGTAACTCATGATCCGTATACCCACCCACATCACCCTTTATCCCAACCCCACCATATATATTCAGTCAACCAAGATCCAGGGATCCACCCAGTCATCGACTCATCCATCCCCACCCATCCACCCATCCACCCATCCACCCATCCACCCATCCACCCATCCACCCATCCACCCATCCACCCATCCACCCATCCACCCATCCACCCATCCAACCATCCACCCATCCACCCATCCACCCATCCACCCATCCACCCATCCACCCATCCACCCATCCACCCATCCACCCATCCACCCATCCACCCATCCACCCATCCACCCCAATGATCAACAAGCCCACGCACCCATCATGGGAGGCTGAGAGGAGACCAACTGCTGGCAGCATTGCAAGGCCACGCACAGAGTCTGGTGCATGGGAAGATGTGCAAAAACACACACACAGCACACGGCAACACACACACACCATACACATACGAACGCACGCACACACGCACGCACACACACACGCACACACCCACCCACCCACCCACACACACACACACGTACACACACACACACACACGTACACACACACACACTCACACACGTACACACACACACACACACACACACTCACTCGCACGCAGGCACGCACACACAACAACAACGATGGCGCAACGCACACGTAAACATACACACACGCGGCTCGTGGAGATCAGGCTCATTCAGGAGCCCTACGGTGGATGGAGAGATGGGCGGGGAAGCTGGAGGGAAGCAGGACTGGAACGAACTGAATGAAAAGGCACGTGGTGGAGAACACACACACACGCTCTCGTGCATGGTGAGGCAGGGATGGGCGGGGAATGTGGCATGGCACGATGGCGCGACGCGACACTTACAGCGTCTCAGAAAACATCCCATCCGAGTAAAGAATTGCACGGCAGGGATGCAGAGGTGAATGAGGTGGGATGGTAAGGGGGACGTGCAAGGCAGGTATGTGAAGGTGAGTGTAGTGACAGGAAAACTAGCGACGGGGGAATCAGGGAGAGAAACATGAATGGGGTCGAAGTTAGTGGGAGGGGGAAGGAGAGTAAGGAAAGGAACAGGCAAAGAACAGACCGGGGGGCGGACAGGGAGAACGACGGGTGGGGAGCGGGGATTGCGATAGTGGAGCAAGAGGGGGAGAGGGAAGTGTGGGGGCCGGGGGGAGAGAAGGGGGCACCTGAATGCGCCCGGACGGACTTGATGCAGGAGGAGCCGTCCCAACAACGAATGGTGCAATCTCCTGACCCTGTATGTGCTCACACGCACACACAAACACATGCCACCCACGCACATGCACACAACACAGAGAGGGGGGGAACGGGCAGGCAAGGGAGGACAAGAGGGAGCGGGAGAGGGGGGGAAGAGGTAGAAATCGAGGGAGGTGGCGACAAGAGGAGAGGAAACGTGAATGGCAGTGGGACCTGAGAAGAGCAGTGCGTTGGGAGCAGCAGAGCAGCAGCGACGCAAAGCACTGATGGCTCGTGGCCTGAATGTTTAGTCGACTCGAAAAACGATGGGGGCCGAGGGAGTGTGAGTGAGGGGTGTGACCTGAGAAGAGAAGCCCGTTGGGAGCAGCGGCAAGGCACAGCACTGAGGACTCATGGCCTGATAGCTGCTGCTGGCAGTGCCCGTCTCGCCACACCCGAATGGTCCTGACAAGGGGGGGAGGTGGGGGGTGCAGGAGAAACACAGAGCAGAAAGACGAAAGGGGGGATTGTGTGGATTCTCTGTTAAACGGGGAGGGGCAAGCACAAATAACTGGTCAATAAACAAGACGCAAATTGTCAATTGACACCGTACCATACCATACCATTCCATACCATACCATACCATACCATTCCATAACATACCATACCATACCATACCATATCATATCATACTGTACCATGCCATACCATACTTTCTTTTTCTTTTTTTCTTAAACAGAGCTTGGATACAAAGGACGTTCCACAGCAAGAAGAAGAACTCACTTGTCCACAGAACACGTTGCAATGACCCCTGCTGCCGTCGCCATGATACCGAGTTGACTTTTGGGTCAACTCAAAAGTCAACTCTGTTCCACAGCAAGAAGAAGCACTCACTCACTTGTCCACAGAACATGTTGCAATGTCCCCTGCTGCCGTCGCCGTGATACCAGTCACCTGCTGCTCATGCCCAGCCAACCGCTGCGCCACCTCCCCAGCCTCCAAATCCCACACCAAAACCAAACAATCCATTCCCCCCGATACTAGCACACCCTTCCCGGCTCCTGCAGCATCACTCGAGCCCTCCCCTCCTCCCCCTGCTCCTGCAGGAGATTGTTGTCCAGGAATCCATGCCAGGGGTCCCACGAAGCTCGTGTGACCCACGAGGGTTTTATCTAGGCCGAATTCGCTGCCCGTTGCGGATCTTGCTGACGTGGACGCTGGCGCGCGCCGCCACAGCTTGACGGTTTTGTCCCGGGATGACGTGGCAAAGCAATCCTCGCCGATCACAGCAATCCCTCGCACCTGGGTTGGGGGATATTTGTGGGATGGCGGCTCGATGTAAGTGGGGTTGATATTCGCTGGTAATATGAATTCAGGGGTTCAAGCTGGATATACGACAATCTGATGGTGGATGTGTGATATCACAACAGGATATCGACTAACTGCGATATGAGTGAAGTACAACGGGATTCGCCAGTAATTTGCGTCACTAGGGCGTCAAATTGGTCAGGCAGGAAGTTGGGATGTGTGGGGAATGGCTCAAAAATCAGAAAACCAGTCATCGAGTAGATGAGAATAAAGGAAGAAGCTGAAGGGACTCAGCGCGCCACAGATCGATCTCGAGTCCAAGTCAGGCTTTATTCAGAACTCGTGAACAGGTCGAGGAAACGGAGTACCACACGGGACGGATGGGACTAACAAAGAACGCGACAAGATTAACTCACGTCCTCGTCATGTGCGAACGACTCGAACGATAACTGGTACTCTCCGCCACCCATCTGTGCGACGATTCTTCGGTGAAAATCCTACAACACTGCCGTCGCAACGCTTTCAAGTAGCAAATGGACGTGGTCGACACGCCGGCCGTAACGCTCAATAAGGAGCTATGTTGCCTTGCCTACATAACAAGGGGCCACCAGACACTCCAGTGGTCAGATTCCTAATGTGCGACCTGCTTGGAGAACCAGCATGTTTACGGCTGTGACTCACTAGCTGGGCAACCGTGCACGGGGTGTAGAGCCGACAACAGAGACTGCGATTCATGAGCGTGCTGCTTATGATAATATGAACATAGCAAGCTGCTGATGATGTCCTTTTCACAGCTCTGAGACAGGAAACATCTAACCTGAAAAGGGGCACAGGTACTGCAATACTAAATACAACATTCACTGATAACGCAGCACGGCCTTACGTACTAACACAAGCCGAATAACTGTAAAACACTAACTACATCACAAGGCTTCTCAACACACCGAACACGCCAATCTAAGGCTCCAACCAAATCCAAACAGCCAGATTTCTTTTTTTGTGCAATCATTTGATCAGTCAGTTCTTGTCACTGGGAGTGGTGGAGGAAGGAGGGGTTGCAGGAGCCGCAGGGGTTGCAGGGGGGGGCACAGCAGCCTTGGCAGCATCAGTGGTCTCCGCATCATCCTTCAGCTCAGCCTTCAGCTCTGACTGAAACTCCTTTGCCGCCTGTGGAAAATAAAGAAAAAGATTGGGGAAGTCAATAAAGCTGCTGATGCTTATAACCTTCAAGCGGAGGTGCAAGAGCGAGGATGCATGGGTCTGAACGGGCACAACACTAAGGCTGCGAAAGTTCAGGCGCACTACCTTAAGACTGGATAAACAGGAAACCATGAAACCAAACAGGAAATAAGTTGCCACGTCATGCGTGCATGAACTGCGCTTGTAACTGCTGATTCGTGAAAATGCGTGCATGCTGCAACACGACAACCATCGGGTGAACCACATATCACAAAGAGACACATTTGACGAGACAAAGCAGTCTCCAACGTCATTAGTGCATTTTTATGTGTGGGTCCGTTGAAAGCGACGGATAGCATTTCAAAAGGTTATTGCTAGTTGTAAGACTTTCCGTGTGCAAGGGACCATCGCGTGTGCTCTTTTGCGTCTCAACACTTTCCGCAGCAAATAGTATTGCTGCGAGTTGCTTGAACTTTCCACACGGAAAAAAGAGGCGAGCAGTCATGACTTCAACATCACTCACATCCTGAAAGCCCTTGACGGTCTTTCCTAGACCCTTGCCAACTTCAGGAAGCTTCTTCGGGCCGAAGAGCACGAGCGCTACACCGCCGATGACAAGCAGCTCCGGGACGCCCAGGCCGAACAACCCGCACACCACCCGCGACGAACCCTGGCGGCTGGATCGAAGCTTGGGGGCCGTGAAGGAGACCGCAGCGCTGTGTCTGAGGGACCCGGCAGGAGATGCTCCCAGGAAGGCGCTTCGGATGGGCCCTGCGGAGGGGTTGTTTGACGCGTCAATAGAAGACAGGTATCGGGGTTGGGACGGACGAGTGCCGATGAGAGGAGGCAACAAATTTTGGAGAGAGAGGGGAGCAAGAGAAGAGAGGGACGAGGAGTGATGGAGGCCGAAAGACTGGGAGGGCGGAAGGAGGCGAGACGGAGGAGAGAGAAGGGGAGAGAGTGGGTGAGGAGGAAGGAAGGGGAGGGAGAAGGGGGAAATAGGGAGAGATCGAGAGAGGGGAAGGGAGAGAGAGCAGCGCACGTGCAGAGAGAGAGAGAGAGAGAGAGAGGAACGGAGGGAGGGAGGGAGAGGCCTGAACCGAAGACCTAGCCCGAGAAAAAAAGAATATGACTTACCCCTGCAGACAGCATGTTGACGGGCTGTAGCAGCGACTGAAACAGGCGCAACTAATGCAGGGCACACGGTCGCAGCCATTAGCGCCATTTCGTTACGCAGCCTAGGGCTCGACGAGCTGAGTCAGGCAGGTCGTAACGAACAAGAACACGTCTTGCAAGAAGAGCAAGATACTCCACTGGAGATCCGCAATGCTTCACAAAAACTCGTTTTGTGCAATCAGCCTTGGCCTTGATGTTTTCTTGCTGTGGTGATCCCTTCGAGATGGGGTGGGATAGGGGGAGACGGGGGGCGGGAGAAGGTTGGCTGCGGTGATGGACGCACAGGACAGCGAAGGGAAGCTCCTCCCTCCTCTGGGTGTGGTTTGGCGTACGAATAGAGAAAGGATATTGACGTGGCAGACCGCCACGTGCCTGGTTTTCAATGGGCCAAGTTGGATATCAAGCTCTGATTTATGACACAGAAAATCCTCCAAGTCTTCCAACTGGAAATACTGTAGATTATGTATGCACTTGAAAGTTATTATTACAGTTTATAGATTGTAAAGTTTGTTTCATAGTTCCAACAAACATATGACGAATACAAAGATTTATGCAAGCACTTTACAAGGCGACTATTTGCTCAAATTTCTCCCGCAATGTCGAAAATGACTCCTTCCATGTGCGTAATATTTTCACGCCGAAAAAAGGGTTCGTCCTAAAGTTGATACGATATGAACAAAAATCATTTAAGTCGTATTGTATAGACCCACTCTGTGCTGGTCCGCGTAAAATTTCTGGTTCACCTACCAAGTGCATACACTTGAGTCAGCGTAGTGAACCAATGTGTTTGCCATAGCAGTACCATCACCACGGTTGGGCTATCGATTTTTCTACCAAGCAATAAGAAAATCGAATATTATTAACAACGAACCGGTTTTGCGAATACAGAAATTGGGTACATTTTATTCTTCCGGTCTTGGATAGCTCAGCTTGCTTTGGATAAACTTCCGACGCTGGATGAGGCAACATGAGAGGTACACGTGCATGTGGTTGTCAAGATAGCAAGCAGGAATGGTTGCATTGAATGAAACATGGGTACAAGTACTAACTCTAACTTTGGGTTGTACCCCCATATGGGCCTACACATAACTAACACATATCTAGTTTGACACACCCCCATAGGCAAAGTGGGGGAGAACAAGGGGTCAGAAGATCAGTCAAGAAAAACAAAGCAAGCTCGGGGTGGATCACAACGTCACCACACACTCGAGCACAAGCAAAGGGGCCACAAGGCCAGTTCACATGCAGAGGAATATATGCAACAACAACAGTACAGTGATCACTACCTAGCAAGAGTAAACATGCAGATATACATATATAGATCACAGTACAACCAGAGTCTACAGCAAGTGAAGAAACGTAGGCACCAGGCCTAGAGCAGTGCAGAAGCGCTGATGATCACCAGCCGGAAGGGCCTTGGTGTCAGACATATATGATATAGCATGTGTAGGCTGTAGTGGGGTAGACAATAGGGGGTACAACTTTTCTAGGGTTTCATACTTGTACCTTTCTCATTCCTAGTCAATCCATTCCTCGTTCTTATTCTCACATGGTATTAGAGCAGAATCGTTCCTAGGGCCCACCGAACGTTCCGCCCTGCCCTAACTGATTTTTTTTTTTTAGTTGCCCCTTCAGCCGCGCTGCCCTTGCAGCCCGCGTACTGCCCCTGCGAACGTGCCTGCCCCTGCAGCCGTGCCTGCCTCTGCAGCCGTGCCTGCCTCTGCAGCCCGTGGGAGCTGCCTCTGCAGCCCGCGCGCCACCCTCCCGAGCAGCTGTCCCTGCCCCTGCAGCCGTGCCTGCCCCTGCAGCCGTGCCTGCCCCTGCAGCCCGTGGGCGCTGCCTCTGTAGCCGTGCCTGCCCCTGCAGCCCGTGGGCGCTGCCTCTGCAGCTGTGCCTACCCCGGCAGCCCGTGGGCGCTGCCCCTGCAGCCGTGCCTGCCTCTGCAGCCCGTGGGAGCTGCCTCTCCAGCCCGCGCGCCGCCCTAAACCCTGCTCGTCGCGACGCCCCTGCAGGATCCGCGCGGCGTCCCCCCCCTACTCGTCGCGGCGCCCCCTTGGCCCCGTCCCTGCTCGTCGCGGCGCCCCCGGGGCGTCGCCCCTACTCGTCGCGGCGCCCCCTGGGCGTCGTCCCTGCTCGTCGCGACGCCCCCGGGGCGCCGTCCCTGCTCGTCGCGACGCCCCCGGGGCGTCGCCCCTGCTCGTCGCGGCGCCCCCTGGGCGTCGTCCCTGCTCGTCGCGACGCCCCCAGGGCGCCGTCCCTGCTCGTCGCGACGCCCCCGGGGCGTCACCCCTGCTCGTCGCGGCGCCCCCTGGGCGCCGTTCCTGTTCGTCGCGGCGCCCCCTAGGCGCCTTCCCTGCTCGTCGCGGCGCCCCCGGGGCGTCTTCCCTGCTCGTCGCGGCGCCCCCTGGGCGCCTTCCCTGCTCGTCGCGGCGCCCCCGGGGCGCCTTCCCTGCTCGTCGCAGCGCCCCCGGGGCGCCTTCCCTGCTCGTCGCGGCGCCCCCGGGGAGTCGCCCCTGCTCGTCGCGGCGCCCCCCCTGCAGCAGCTGCCTCGAAGCCCCGCCCTGCAGCAGCTGCCGCTGAGCTCATTGCCGCCGTAGCGGCCCCGCCCTGCTGCGGCTACCGCGGAGCCGCCTGCAGCAGTCGTGGCCCCGCCCTGCAGCAGCTGCCGAGGAGCCCCCTGCCGCTGTCGCGGCCCCGCCCTGCAGCTGTCCCAGCCCCGCCGTCGTGCGCCTTGCCTGCTCGCCCGGCGAGCGACTGCCCTTCCCGCCACTGGTGAGCAGTTGCCCTACCCGCGCTTCCCGCGCGCCTGCCTTACTAGCGCGCTGCCACACTGCCCTGCCCGTGTTGTTACTGCTGCTACTGCTGCTGCTACTGCTACTCCTGCTACTGCTGCTCCTGGCGGTGGCCAGATGCAGCTCCAGCGACGTCCGCGTGAGTCCCTCACGCCCCAGCAGCTTCATGAGTGGTACGCTAGTTGGGGTTGTAGGGGTGGCCGTGGTGGGAGTCGCCCTGGAGCGGGTCGTTCGGGAGCTTCTTGTAGTGACCAGGTGCAGCTGCAACAGCGTCTGCGCGCGGTCCATTCGCCCCAGCAGCTTCGTGAGTGGTACGCTCAGAGTGGAGGGTCACGGAGTACTGCTCGCTGCCCGTACGTCATTCGCACTAGTGCTCGGGCTGGTCAGCCTTGCAGGACGATTGGTCACACAGAGTCCCGCTGCTTCTCCCGTCTGAGCGACGCGTGGCGTACAGAGTTTGGCGACGCGGCTGAGCTCCCCTCCTGGTTGGAGCTGCTTAGGCAGAGGGTAGATATCTTTGCTCTTGACTATGATACTATCCTCACTGCCATGTATGCATTGCCTACTAGTGCTAAGGGTGCCTGTTACCTGTGTGTGCCGCCTGACCCAGGTATAGAGTCTGCTGCTCTAGTTACTGGTGAGGCTGCTGCTCTAGGTGCTGGTGCGTCTCCTGCTCCAGGTGCCGGTGAGGCTGCTGCTCTAGGCGCTAGGGAGTCCACTCCTCCAGGTGCTGGTGAGTCTGCTCTCTCTGGTACTGCGCCTGCTGCGGCCTCGCACACTTTCACCCTTGACTCGGGTGCTTCCCGCACTTTCTTTCGCGACTGCACCACACTCTCGCCGCTCAGTAGGCCAGTGGCAGTCTCTCTGGCTGAGCCCTCTGGGGGTCCAGTCCTTGCACACCCCTCCACGGTTCTGCCGTGTCCGGCGGTCCTGACTGGCTCTCTGTCTGGCCTCCACCTCCCCTCGTTCTCCACGAACTTGGTGAGTGGAGCTGACCTTCAGGACGCGTGGGTTGACCAGTTCACTCCTGGAGGTCAGCGGGTGACCCACTGTTCGTGTACTCGCACGGGCCGGCACCTGGCCACGTTCACTCGTCAGCCTGGGTCGAGCCTGTACACCCTGTCTACCGTGTCTCCTCCGGTTGCTGAGTCTGGTCAGGTAGCTGCGTCAGGTCAGGTGTTTGCTGCAGCGTCCCAGTCTGGTCCTGAGTATGCCCCCTGCTCGTGTCGCCTCCTGTCTCACCAGACTCTCCTCTGGCACCACCGCCTTGGTCACCCCTCCCTGCCTCGTCTCCGAGGCATGGCCTCCCGTGTCCTTGTCACTGGTCTTCCCCGGTCTCTCCCTCCCCTCCCCCCGGGGCCTGCCCCTACCTGCGTTCCTTGTGTCGAGGGGCGGCAGTGCGCCGCTCTTCACTCCTCCGAGTTTCCTCCCACGGAGGCTCCCTTGCAGACTCTTCACATGGACGTGTGGGGCCCAGCCCGCGTCCGTGGACAGGGTCACGAGCGCTACTTTTTGCTGGTCGTTGACGACTACTCGCGTTACACCACAATCTTCCCCTTGCGCCGCAAGGGTGAGGTCACTGAGGTGCTGATCGTCTGGATCCGCGCTGCCCGTCGTCAGCTCAGCGAGAGTTTTGGCTCGGACCTTCCTGTTCTGCGTCTGCACTCTGACAGAGGTGGAGAGTTTTCCTCCGACCTTTTGCAGGCCTTCTGTCGTGCGGAGGGCATCCGCCAGACGTTCACGCTTCCGGCCTCTCCACAGCAAAATGGAATGCTGAGCACCGCATTGGCATGGTTATGGACG